AAGATTTCTCCCCCCCCCCCCGCCTCTTCGCAAGGAGCTGCTCCCCTCTCTCCAAAGTCCAGAGAAAAGATTTCTTCCCAAATCCCAGACATGCTTCTCCACCATAGGAGACAGTTGCCTTGCCTTCTCTTTAGGAACTGCACCCTCCTCCCCCCACCGTTTCCAGCTTTCATCAAAGGCAATTCCTCCCCTTGCCTTCAAAGATTTCTCCCCCCCCCCCCGCCTCTTCGCAAGGAGCTGCTCCCCTCTCTCCAAAGTCCAGAGAAAAGATTTCTTCCCAAATCCCAGACATGCTTCTCCACCATAGGAGACAGTTGCCTTGCCTTCTCTTTAGGAACTGCACCCTCCTCCCCCCACCGTTTCCAGCTTTCATCAAAGGCAATTCCTCCCCTTGCCTTCACACACACAAAGGATCTGCCTCCTCCCAATCCCTCCAGGAAAGTCCTCTCCTCACCCCAAATCTCAGGCAACCCCCCAGCACACAAGATCTTTCTCCTTTTCTGGAAGCTGCTCTCTGACCCCATGCACAATCAGCAAATTCCGCCTCCCCATACCTGATTTTCCCCCCTCCCATAATCCCCATGGAAAAGGTTACCCCAACTTCCTTCTTTTTCCAAGTATACAGGGATTCCTTCACACCCCAAAGGCAGGATTCTCCAGGAAGTGCTCTAAGGCCTACTGCTCCTCCTCCTGCACTGTGCATCAACCAGTTCTGCCCTGCTCCTGCAATGGTAGCAGTCAACCCACTCTACCCTCTTGAGGCAGGATCCAGCCCCATCTGTGCCTTGAGGCCTAGAGTTGTGGTTGCCCATATGATACAGGATTCCCCAATCTCTTTATAACCCATGCCATAGGCTGCCCTGTGTCATTGCATTCGAAGATGTGCCCCCCTCCAAACCTGGCAATGAGAATTCCCACCCACTCTGCTCATTCACTGGCTGTAGGCATCCCACCCACTGCAGCTCCTCTCAGGGACTGGATCGCTCTCTCTACCACCATTCCTATCGGGGATAAGATTCCACCATCTGTGCCTTGAGATCTAGAG